CTTAATAATAACAAGGCATTCTCTCTTATATTCAATATAGTAGTTATTAATTTTTAACAATCAATTTTTAGCTTTACACCACTCCATGCATATTCAGAAGTTTTGCACAACTAATGTAAGACATCTATTAAGAATATGCACACTCCATTTTACAGCTTCGGGCCAAAACATTTTAGGAACTTGCTTCTCAATCAACATAGAGCGCACCATGTTCATAATCGTCATTTTTTTTTCTCAACAACTCCATTTTATTGAGAAGTATAGGCTACAGTCAGTTGTCTGCTTACGTCTTAAATTCTTCCAAATTCTTCAAACTAATTTAAGGTAAATTCACGACCTCTATTTGTTCAAAGAGGTGATATATGCTTGTCAATGTCTTTGGTTAAGGAGGGTGTTAGATAAGTTTGGTCATAAAGAGAAAAGGAGAACTCTGATTCAATGTGAAAATAACTCTACAATAAAGCTTTCAAAGAATTCAATTTCTCATGGAAAAAGCAAACACATTGATATCAAATTTCATTTTTTTTTGAGAGATTTGGTAAAAGATGGAATTATAGAATTCAGCTACTGCAATTCTCAAGAACAGATCGCAGACATAAATGACAAAACCTATAAAGTTAGATCAATATTTGAAACTTCGTAAGATGATGAAAATTGTTAAAGCTTCAAAAATAAATTAAATACATTATGCATATAGTTTAAGGGAGGAGATGTTAAATATTTGTGGTTATTATTATTATTATTATTATTATTATTATTATTATTATTATTATTATTATTATTATTATTATTATTATTATTATTATTATTATTATTATTATTATTATTATTATTATTATTATTATTATTATTATTATTATTATTATTATTATTATTATTATTATTATTATTATTATTATTATTATTATTATTATTATTATTATTATTATTATTATTATTATTATTATTATTATTATTATTATTATTATTATTATTATTATTATTATTATTATTATTATTATTATTATTATTATTATTATTATTATTATTATTATTATTATTATTATTATTATTATTATTATTATTATTATTATTATTATTATTATTATTATTATTATTATTATTATTATTATTATTATTATTATTATTATTATTATTATTATTATTATTATTATTATTATTATTATTATTATTATTATTATTATTATTATTATTATTATTATTATTATTATTATTATTATTATTATTATTATTATTATTATTATTATTATTATTATTATTATTATTATTATTATTATTATTATTATTATTATTATTATTATTATTATTATTATTATTATTATTATTATTATTATTATTATTATTATTATTATTATTATTATTATTATTATTATTATTATTATTATGTGTTTCTATTATTAGGAATATGACTTCGTATATAGTCTCCACTTAATAATGGCTTTTATTTTTAAGTTTTTCTATTTTTAAGTCAATTGTAATGCTATATATATAGCAAACTCTTATTCTTAATAATAAGAAGGCATTCTCTCTTATATTCAATATAGTAGTTATTAATTTTTAACAATCAATTTTTAGCTTTACACCACTCCATGCCTATTCAAAAGTTTTGCACAACTAATGTAAGACATCTATTAAGAATATGCACACTCCATTTTACAGCTTTGGGCCAAAACATTTTAGGAACTTGCTTCTCAATCAACATAGAGCGCACCATGTTCATAATCGTCATTTTTTTTTCTCAACAACTCCATTTTATTGAGGAGTATAGGCTACAGTCAGTTGTCTGCTTATGTCTTAAATTCTTCCAAATTCTTCAAACTAATTTAAGGTAAATTCACGACCTCTATTTGTTCTCAAAGAGGTGATATATGCTTGTCAATGTCTTTGGTTAAGGAGGGTGTTAGATAAGTTTGGTCATAAAGAGAAAAGAAGAACTCTGATTCAATGTGAAAATAACTCTACAATAAAGCTTTCAAAGAATTCAATTTTTCATGGGAAAAGCAAACACATTGATATCAAATTTCATTTTTTGAGAGATTTGGTAAAAGATGGAGTTGTAGAATTCAGCTACTGCAATTCTCAAGAACAGGTCGCAGACATAAATGACAAAACCTATAAAGTTAGATCAATATTTGAAACTTCGTAAGATGATGAAAATTGTTAAAGCTTCAAAAATAAATTAAATGCATTATGCATATAGTTTAAGGGAGGAGATGTTAAATATTTGTGGTTATTATTATTATTATTATGTTTTATGTGTTTCTATTATTAGGAATATGACTTGGTATATAGTCTCCACTTAATAATGACTTTTATTTTTAAGTTTTTCTATTTTTAAGTCAATTGTAATGCTATATATATAGCAAACTCTTATTCTTAATAATAACAAGGCATTCTCTCTTATATTCAATATAGTAGTTATTAATTTTTAACAATCAATTTTTAGCTTTACACCACTCCATGCCTATTCAGAAGTTTTGCACAACTAATGTAAGACATCTATTAAGAATATACACACTCCATTTTACAGCTTCGGGCCAAAACATTTTAGGAACTTGCTTCTCAATCAACATAGAGCGCACCATGTTCATAATCGTCATTTTTTTTTTCTCAACAACTCCATTTTATTGAGGAGTATAGGCTACAGTCAGTTGTCTGCTTATGTCTTAAATTCTTCCAAATTCTTCAAACTAATTTAAGGTAAATTCACGACCACTATTTGTTCTCAAAGAGGTGATATATGCACTTGACTCCTTTTCAACATAAGCTATAAAAGTTTTGAACATTGCAAAAGCCTTTGATTTTTCATCTAAGAAGTAAATCCATGTCTTCCGAGTAAAATCATCTATAAAACTTAGGAAGTACCTTTTGTTGCTATTTGATTCTGGCTTTACGGGTCTTCATGCCCAAGTTGAAGCTTATATAAGATATTTTTAGACATAGAATCTCAATGTTCAAACACTCTGTACATAGCTTCTTCGGAATTTGGATTTAAGCAACCCATTTGCCATTTTTTTATAAAAAAGTGTCCTCAATCCTTGATAGCTTAAGTGACCAAAGCGACATATCCAAAGAGAAGGTTCATTTTCTGACACGTCTTAAAAGCATGCAGACTCATTTGACATCATGGAAGCTACCAAACTGAATATTTATTTTCACGCATGATTGTTTCCATAATTAATCCTTTTGTTGAAAGATATATCATACATTTCCCTTGTTGAACCAAAATAGATAAGCCTTTATTTTGTAGTTGTCATATGTTGAATAAATTGTTCTTTAACTCAAGAATATAGTAAACATTCGAAATTACCTGAGTAAATCCGTTCACTTGCATACGAACATTTCCTTTTCCAATAACAACCATTCTACTGTCATTTCCAAGTTTTACAGTATGTCTGAAGCCTTCGTCTAAGTTTAAGAATCACTTTTTGTTTCCACTCATATGATTGCTGCAACCAGAGTCAAGAAAGCACATTTCTTCCTTCTCGGCATGTTTGATTTCAACATAGGACATTAATAATATCTCTTCTTCTTTCTCTTCAAATTCAGCATAATTGGTCTTTTGCTCCCAATCAAGACACTCATATTGGTAGTGTCCTAACTGATGACACCGAAAACACTCTACAACTGCTTTATTGTAGGGTTGTCGCCCTCTTCCTCTTCCTCCTCTAAACACGCCTCTACCTCTTCCTCTTCCAGATTTATCTTCATGATATCTTAAGAAATTCTTCTTCTTCTACATGGCTTGTTATTCTTTGTTCATGAACAAGAAGACTACTCTGCAACTCAACAATAGTCATTGTATCCAAATTGTTGGAGTCTTCAATTGAACATACCACATAATTAAATTTTGAGACCATTGATCTCAAAATCTTCTCAGTGATGACTGTTTGACTCATACTTTTACCATGAGCTTTCATTTTGTTAGCAATGGTTAGAGTGCGAGAGAAATAAGAATTAACAGTTTCTCTTTCTTTCATATGAAGAATCTCAAAAAAATTCCGTAAAGCTTGCAATTGTGCCCTTTTAACTCGGTTTGAACCCTGAAAATTTTGCTTCATTGAATTCCATATACTTTTGAACGTGTCCTTATTGAGGATTGTTTCATAACATCGAGTCCGCCTACCTCCCAATGCCATAAGGCCCTGTTCCTCTCAAATTACAAGATGATGCCCTCTCTAATCCTCCTATTTATTTATAGGCAGCTTACATTATTTATTTGGCCTAACTACCTCTCAACAAACTACTAACTACCCATTAACTGATTAATTAACTAACTAACTACTTAACTAACAAGTAACAACTTAATTATCAAGTAACAACTTCTTAACTAACAATAATAAACCTATCAGACACCCAACACCCAAACTAAAAAATAAACTAGGGTTATCCTTGATGGCGGCTGAACCCAAAGACAAAGAACAATGATTTCAAACCTTGCTAGGAAAAAAAACTCTCGTTATATTCCATAACAGAAAAGTGGTGAGGACGTGAGGTGGTTCAAGAGGATCAAACCAACTCTAGATACCGTGTTGAATGAGATGATTTGAATTGCTAGAGAAATTACTCTAAGCCTTGTTATTTACAAACAAATGATTACAATCAAATCTAAAACTAAATCCCTTGATTATAGGGATAAGACCAACAAACCTAATCTTAAGAGATATTTACTCAACAAACTATAAATCTAACATATATCTTAACACGTAACAGACAGAAGTTGAACACCGAGTCTCTCACAAATGTTTCACTCTTTAGGAATACTTTGAACACTGAATCACTCGCAAATGTTTCACGCTTCAGGAGTACTTCAAAAAATCTACATATTTTAAAGTTATTTTTTTTAAGCTCACTTGCTTATACCATTGAAAATACTCATGTCAGTTCAAGCAACAGTCCGATATAAACATAAGAGCAGAGAAATAATTACCCATATATATCACCAATAGTTGGAACCGAGTAACATATCAATATAAGCAGAAGAATAAAGGGATATTTACCTATATATATCACCAATATTTGGAACCATTGTCAAATTACTAATGATAGCCTTAGACTTCTCTAAACTAGCCAAATCTTTCGCAAATATTTTCACCTGCAATAGCCACAGAAACATTAATCATTATCTACAGAAATATATATCAACAAAAAAGTACTGTAATAGTCAGAAAATAAGCTGATTGCTGACATACAGTGCCATCATCTTCGGTATCAATAGCCTCTATTCCAGATTGCTCAATAATGCTCTTCACTTTTTTCCCACCGGAGCCAATTATAAGATTTACTTTATCCGGTCTGACCTAAATTTTTTATAGATATAAGAAAGAGATGTCATGTGTTGTAGATCAAAATACTGGGA